ATACCAACCACTCCAACACTATGTCCCCCCCCCCCTGCTTTTAACACTTGTCATGATCCCGTCAGTTCCATCTGCTTCACCCCCTTTCATTCTACGTAATGCCTCACGCACCTCCCCACATTCACATCCTGCTCTTCTTCATTCCTAAAGATGGTATACCTCCCTGGCCAGTGCATGAAATTACCGCCTCCCTTTCTTTGTCGACATTTAAAATTTCCTCAAAATATTCTCGCCATCTACCCAAAACCACCATCTCCCCATCTACTAACTCCCCTACTCTGCTTTTAACTGACAAATCCATTTGTTCCCTAGGCTTTCTTAACTTGTTTAACTCACTCCAAAATTTTTTCTTATTTTCATTAAAATTTCTTGACAGTGCCTCTCCCACTATCATCTGCTCTCCTTTTGCACTCTCTTAACACTCTCTTCACCTTTCTTTTTCTCTCCATATACTCTACTCTTCTTGTAACACTTCTGCTTTGTAAAAACCTCTCATAAGCTACCTTTTTCTCTTTTATCACACCCTTTACTTCATCATTCCACCAATCACTCCTCTTTCCTCCTGCACCCACCCTCCTATAACCATAAACTTCTGCCCCACACTAATACTGCATTTTTAAAACTATTCCAGCCCCCCCCCCACTACTCAAACTTGCCCCAGCCCACCTTTCTGCCAATAGTTGCTTATAACTCACCTGAACTTCCTCCTCCCTTAGTTTATACACTTTCACCTCCCTCTTACTTCTTGTTGCCATTTTCCTCTTGTCCCATCTACCTCTTACTCTAACTGTAGCTACAACTATATAATGATCCGATACATCAGTTGCCCCTCTATAAACGTGTACATCCTGGAGCCTACCCATCAACCTTTTTTTTTTTTTTTTTTTTTTTTTTAACAAGTCAGCACTCTCCCACTGAGGCAGGGTGACCCAAAAAGAAAATCCCCAAAAAGAAACTACTTTCATCATCATTCAACTCTTTCAATCTTTTATCCACAACTATATAATCTAACAAACTACTTTCATTACTAAATTAGACACATGTGCAACTCTTGGGTATCTTTATTAAGGAAACGTTTTGCCACACAGTGGCTTCATCAGTCCATACAAAGGATAAACTTGAAGAACAGGAGGAGAATGAGGTAATCAGTCCCTCAACCTTGAGTCGATGTGGTCAGTCCATCAATCTTGAATAGAATACGGCATATGAGCGGAGCAGTAGCTTATAAACCGTATGGCTATGGGATCAACTTTGTCATCATCTTCCTTTGTACGTTCTCCAGAGCATTTATAACCATTCTGGAATACGGTGACCAAAACTGTGCAGCATAATTTAAATGAGGCCTAACCAAGGATATAAAGAGTTGAAGAACAACCTGAGGACTCTTATTATTTATACTACGAAGCCAAGGATTCTGTTCGCTTTATTGCGAACACTTATGCACTGTTGTCTTGGTTTTAGATTACTGCTAACCAGAACTCCCAAATCCTTTTCACAAATAGTAATATTAAGATCTACATGTGGAATGGTTATTTTCCTGTCCAATTTTTAGAACTTTGCATTTGTCTGTATTAACCCTTTAAGGGTCCGTGCTGTAGATCTATGGCTATACATTGAGGGTCCAAACCGTAGATCTACACCATGAGCTCAGCTCACTCTGATAAGCTGTAAGCAGTAAATTTGGGCCTAGATATGAGAGAATACATCTATGTGGTATGTGTGCACCATATAAAACAAATCATGCAACACACAGTGCATAATGAGAGAAAACAAAAATGACCGTAATTTTCGATTAAAACAGCGACTTTGCAGTGCTTTTTTGTATGTTTTTTAAAGTTATATTTGTGATTTCTTGATCTCATTTGATAGAATGGAAGATATATTACAGAAATAGAGATGATTTTGATTGGTTTTAGTAATCGAAATGGGTTGAAACTGAGCTCAAAATAGCAGAAATGTTAAATTTTTGCCGATGTTCAAGATCCCACACGTCTAATACACACCAGCTGGTGGGTCTAATATATGTTCACAAATGTGGTGATATTATTTATACAATTATTACAGTATTGCATAACAGTAAATCTTCTATTTTTTTGGTGTGAATAAAAATTCATTATGTGAATAAAAAATCAAAATGGAATTCATTTGTAAAGCCTGAAATGTAACTAATGAACAGAGGAAATGTTAGTTTAGTTCCAGGAATGCCTGCACTGTTTATTCTGGACCCTATTTTGAAATTAGAATATTTTGAACTTTGCCTTAAATTGGCCAAATTACCAATTTCTGATCACTATTTTGTAGCTGAAACAGTTGACTTGGTGATTTCTTGTGCTCAGTCGATAGAATAGAAGTAATACTAGTGAAATAGCTTAGAATTTGGTAGACTGGAGTAATATAATTGGCCTAAAATGGGAGTCAAAGTCGGCAAAATTGCCGATGTGTAAATATTGCTGACACATCAAAATTCGCGAGGGCATAATTTCGTCAATTTTCTATCAAATTTCGTACTTTTTGTTTTATTACCTTCAGAAAAAGATTCTCTACCATTTCATAAGAAAATATAACAAAATTATTTTTTGAAAATTCTTGGACTCTGGTGCACACACTGAAATTTGGCTTTTGGACCCTGAAAGGGTTAAACTGCATCTGCCACTTCTCCGACCACTGCATCAGTCTATTAAAATCATCCTGGAGTGCTCTAATGTCCTCGTCAGAATGAATTCGTTGGCTTATTTTGGTGTCATTGGGAATTTTATTTATATCACTTGTTATTCCCTCTTCTATGTTGTTTATGTACATTGTGAAAAATAAGGGGCCCAACACTGACCCCTGTGGAACACTGCTTGTGATGCTTCTCTACTCTGATTTCTCCCTATTTATGCAAACTCTCTGCTGCATATCTGTTAACTATGCCTCTATCCAGGAAAAAATTTCTCCTCCTATTCCTTCATCTTTTTTTTTTTTTTTTAATATATTTGAAGGGGTTTGGGATACTGTCAGTTTGGAGGGACACCTAAATTGTCATATCTGAGCACTTCTGCAAAGACAGCAATTATGTATGAGTGATGGTGAGTGTTGAATTATGATTAAAGTTTTTTCTTTCTTTTTGGGTTTTTCCTTCTTTTTGGGGTCACCCTGCCTCAGTGAGAAATGGCTGACATGTTGAAAAAAGAAAAAAAAATACTGAATAACTTCCAGGAAGTGTGCATGAGTGTGTTAGATAGGAGTGAATGGAGACGAACGGTTTCTGGGATCTGACAAGCTGTTGGATTGTGAGTAGGGTAATATTTTGTGAAGGGATTCAGGGAAACTGGTTAGCTAGACTCGAGTCCTGAAGGTGGAAAGTACAATGCCTGCCTTTAAAGGAGGGGTTTGGGATACTGGCTGTTTGAACTGACATCTAAACTGTCTATCTGAGTGCCTCTGCAAGGATAGTGATTATGAATGAATAATGGTGAAAGTTTTGAATGATGATGAAGGATTTTTTTTCCTTTTGGGTTTTTCTTTCTTTTTGGGTCACTCTGCCTTGATGGGAAATGGCCAACATGTTTTAAAAAGAAAATATTAAAATTAGCCATTGTACCCTAAAAGCTTTTCATGATTTCATTAATACAATCTCCAGTGACATTTTTTTTTTTTTGTATCAATTATGACTTCTAATTCATAGGTGCCAGAGTTCAGGAAAATGAGCTAGGAAAAATGAATATGAAAATTAGACAATATGTAACTAGAGAATATATAAAAAAAATTATTAAAATGATAACATAGATATGCATGACTGAACATTTCACACTTTTGTGAGCCAAAGGGATATCAAAAATTCTTCGATATAAAAGTGGTCAAGTTATGCAATGAACTGAACAATAACAGTGGAAGCAGAATCTATACAAAGTTCAAAAACAGACATTACAAGGCTAATTCACATCAGCTGATCAGAAGAGGTTGGGACCAGGAGCTGCAGTTCAGTCTCTACCTCCTAGCATAAGTAATTACAGAAACTGATAAAAGGAACCTTGTATGTTAAGAACATTAACCTTTTGACTGTTGCAAGCCCCTTTCTGAAACTCATTCTATGTTGCAAAATTTTTGGAAAAAAAAAAAAAAAATTTTTTTTCTTATGAAATGATAGAGAATCTTTTCCCAATGGTAATGACACCAAAAGTACAAAATTTTTGGTCGAAAACTAACAGAATTAACCTCCCGCGAAGTTAGCGGTCTCAGCGACATATACGCATCGGCGATTTCGCAGACTTTGAGCCCTGTTTCTGGCCAATTCCGTTGTTCCAGTTGACCAAACTCATAGCTATTTCTTTAGAACTCCATTTTTTCTATCAACTGAGTACAAGAAACTGCCCATTTACTTATTTGAACTACCCAATAAAGTGGTCAGAAATTGGCAATTTGGCCAATTTCACGCAAATTAAAAAAGATAACCAATTTCAAAATAGGGTCCAGAATAAACAATGTAGAGCATTCTTGGCACTAAAATAACATATCCTCTGTTCATTAGTCACATCTCTAGGCCCCTCTTATATTACTATTGCTTTCTATTTTGATTTTTTATTCATACAAAAAATACAAAATTTACTGTTATGCAGACTACTGCATTATTGTAAAAATGGTATAAATAATATCAATGTACTAGTGAAAGAATATCAGACTCCCCAGTTGACATGTATTAGACGTGTGGTGTGATTTGCTTACTCTTGAACATTGGTAAAAATCGAACATTTCTGCTACTTTGAGCTCAATTTCAAGATTGTTTTCATTGTGAAACTAATCAAAATCATCTCTATTTCTGCATTATGTTTTCCAGTTTATCACATAAGACCATGAAAACGAGAATGCAATGATAAATACTATACGAAAATATACCTTAAAATTGGCGTTTTAATCCAAAAAAAGGTCGGTTTTTTTTTTTCTCATTATGCACTGCATGCTGCAGAATTTTTTTTATGTGGTGCACACTGACCACACCAACCCATTCTCTCACATGTGGGCCTACCAGCTTTCTCCTGCTTGATTTGAAGGCGCTAGAATTTTTTTTTTTTTTTAACAAGGCGGCCGTCTCCCACCGAGGCAGGGTGACCCAAAAAGAAAGAAAATCCCAAAAAGAAAATACTTTCATCGTCATTCAACACTTTTACCTCACTCACGCATAATCAATGTTTTTGCAGAGGTGCCCAGAATACAACAGTTTAGAAGCATATACTGTACGTATAAAGATACACAACATATCCCTCCAAACCGCCACTATCCCGAACCCCTCCTTTAGAGTGCAGGCATTGTACTTCCCATTTTCAGGACTCAAGTCCAGCTATATAAAAATAATCAGTTTCCCTGAATCCCTTCACTAAATATTACCCTACTCACACTCCAACAGCTCGTCAGGTCCCAAATACCATTTGTCTCCATTCACGTTCATGTACGCCTGCTGGAAGTCCAAGCCCCTAGCCAACAAAACCCCCCTTACCCCTTCCTTCCAACCTTACCGAGGATGACCCCTACCCTGCCTTCCTTCCCCTACAGATTTATATGCTCTCCATGTCATTCTACTTTAATTCATTCTCTCTAAATGACTAAACCACCTCAACAACCCCTCTTCAGCCCTCTGACTAATACTTTTATTAACTCCACACCTTCTCCTAATTTCCACACTCCGAATTTTCTGCATAATATTTACACCACACATTGCCACACACACTGGCTCATAAGACGTATATATATACGACCAAAACAGTCAAAGGGTTAATACGGCAGAGCATAATACATCAATATCTTATGAAGCGAGTCAGGACCATCTTACTATTTCTGATTTATTAACCCTTAACTTGACACAAATATTTATTCATGGGGTAAAAGTGTCATAATAATACCTTAACCTAACATCTAATATACAGTAGATTCACATTTTGCAGGCCCACAAATTATGTTTCAACCAGGTTCAAATTTTGCAGGAATGATCACAAAATTGTACCATAAACTTCAAGAAAAATAAGTTGCTGAGGAACTTAACCCTCACAAAATGTAAAAGTCTACTATACTGTATTTAATTATTTCATGCATAATTAGGTAGAGCATTCAAGTTAAATAGGACAAGCACTTACTTGAGGACTCTCTGCACAGGTTTGATGAGGACAGATCTCATATCCATTAACTGAATTTTATGCTGCTGCAGTTCACCCAGAACCCACTGAAGGAATGCTGCTGGCTCGGCTTCTTCTATATACTAAACAACACAGAGTTCAAATTGCCTCACAAAATATGATAAATTACTACTGCCTCAAGCAATGTATAATCAACACAACAGAAAAATATATATATCAAGATAAGCCACTGCTGGATCAAAAAGTCAGGTCATACATTTGCAAATAAGACAGGTTAAAATTCTCCAGCTTCAAACTGGAAACAATATAATGTTTAAAAAGCTCTTCAGTCTAAGATCCCAGTGCTACATAAATATATAAAGAAAAGTTTATTCATATGGTAGTAGGTTGGTAGACAGCAACCACCCAGGGAGGTACTACCGTCCTGCCAAGTAAGTGTAAAACGAAAGCCTGTAATTGTTTTACATGATGGTAGGATTGCTGGAGTCCTTTTTTCTGTCTCATAAACATGCAAGATTTCACGTACGTCTTGCTACTTCTACTTACACTTAGGTCACACTACACATACATGTTTTTTTTTTTTTTTCAACAAGTCGGCCGTCTCCCACCGAGGCAGGGTGACCCAAAAAAGAAAGAAAATCCCCAAAAAGAAAATACTTTCATCATCATTCAACACTTTCACCACACACGCACATTATCACTGTTTTTGCAGAGGTGCTCAGAATACAACAGTTTAGAAGCATACACATATAAAGATACACAACATATCCCTCCAAACTGCCAATATCCCAAACCCCTCCTTTAAATTGCAGGCATTGTACTTCCCATTTCCAGGACTCAAGTCCGACTACATGAAAATAACCGGTTTCCCTGAATCCCTTCACTAAATATTACCCTGCTCACACTCCAACAGATTGTCAGGTCCCAAGTACCATTCGTCTCCATTCACTCCTATCTAACATGCTCACGCACGCTTGCTGGAAGTCCAAGCCCCTTGCCCACAAAACCTCCTTTACCCCCTCTCTCCAACCCTTTCGAGGACGACCCCTACCCCGCCTTCCTTCCCCATAGATTTATATGCTTTCCATGTCATTCTACTTTGATCCATTCTCTCTAAATGACCAAACCACCTCAACAACCCCTCTTCTGCCCTCTGACTAATACTTTTATTAACTCCACACCTTTTCCTAATTTCCACACTCCGAATTTTCTGCATAATATTTACACCACACATTGCCCTTAAACAGGACATCTCCACTGCCTCCAACCGTCTCCTCGCTGCTGCATTTACCACCCAAGCTTCACACCCATATAAGAGTGTTGTACTACTATACTTTCATACATTCCCTTCTTTGCCTCCATAGATAACGTTTTTTGACTCCACATATACCTCAACGCACCACTTACCTTTTTTCCCTCATCAATTCTATGATTAACCTCATCCTTCATAAATCCATCCGCCGACACGTCAACTCCCAAGTATCTGAAAACATTCACTTCTTCCATACTCCTCCTCCCCAATTTGATATCCAATTTTTCTTTATCTAAATCATTTGACACCCTCATCACCTTACTCTTTTCTATGTTCACTTTCAACTTTCTACCTTTACACACATTCCCAAACTCATCCACTAACCTTTGCAATTTTTCTTTAGAATCTCCCATAAGCACAGTATCATCAGCAAAAACTAACTGTGTCAATTCCCATTTTGAATTTGATTCCCCAAAATTTAATCCCACCCCTCTCCCGAACACCCTAGCATTTACTTCCTTTACAACCCCATCTATAAATATATTAAACAACCATGGTGACATTACACATCCCTGTCTAAGACCTACTTTTACAGGGAAGTAGTCTCCCTCTCTTCTACACACCCTAACCCGAGCCTCACTATCCTCATAAAAACTCTTTACAGCATTTAATAACTTACCACCTATTCCATATACTAGCAACATCTGCCACATTGCTCCTCTATCCACTCTATCATATGCCTTTTCTAAATCCATAAATGCAATAAAAACTTCCCTACCTTTATCTAAATACTGTTCACATATGTATATGCTTCAATTTAAACACTTGATCTACACATCCCCTACCCACTCTGAAACCTCCTTGCTCATCCGCAATCCTACATTCTGCCTTACGTCTAATTCTTTCAATTATAACCCTACCGTACACTTTTTCCTGGTATACTCAGTAAACTTATTCCTCTATAATTTTTACAGTCTCTTTTGTCCCCCTTCCCTTTATATAAAGGGACTATACATGCTCTCTGCCAATCCCTAGGTACCTTCCCCTCTTTCATACATTTATTAAACAAAAGTACCAACCACTCCAACACTATATCCCCCCCTGCTTTTAACATTTCTGTCATGATCCCATCAGTTCCAGCTGCTTTACCCCCTTTCATTTTACGTACATGTACATGTACACGTACAAGCATATATATACACACCCCTCTGGGTTTTTTTCTATTTTCTTTCTAGTTCTTGTTCTTGTTTATTTCCTCTTATCTCCATGGGGAAGTGGAACAGAATTCTTCCTCCGTAAGCCATGCGTGTTGTAAGAGGTGACTAAAATGCCGAGACCAAGGGGCTAGTAACCCCTGCTACTGTATAAATTACTAAATTTAAAAAAGAGAAACTTTCATTTTTCTTTTTGGGCCACCCTGCCTTGGTGGGATACAGCTGGTTTGTTAAAAAAAAAAAAAAGTTTATTCATCACTTTTCAGAAACAAATGTACAGTAAAAACCTCTCATTAACCCTTTGACTGTCGCAACCCCCAATCCTGAGGTGTCTCCTGGTGTCGCAAAATTTAAAAAAAAAAAAAAAAAAAAAAAAAAAAAAAAAAAAAAAAAAAAAAAAAAAATTCTTATGAAATGATAGAGAATCTTTTCCCAATTGTAATGACACCAAAAAAACGAAATTTGTTGGAAAACTGACGGAATTATGCTCTCTCGAAGTTAGCGACCTCGGTGCTGTTTACAAATTGGCGATTTTGCCCACTTTGAGCCCTATTTGCGGCTAATTCCATTGTTCCAGTCGCCCAAACTCATAGCTATTTCTTTAGAACTCCATTTTTCTATCGATTGAGTACAAGAAACTACCCATTTACCGATTTCAACTACCTAATAATGTGGTCAGAAATTTGCAATTTGGCCAGTTTCTCGAAAACTAAAAAATATGACAATTTCAAAATAAGGTCCAGAATGAACAATGCAGACATTCCTGGCTCTAAAATAACATTTTCTTTGTTCATCAGTCACGTCTCCAGGCCCCTCTGATATTACTCTTGCTTTCTATTTTGAATTTTTATTCAAACAAAAAATAGAAGACTTACTATTATGCAGACTACTGCAATACAGTGGACCCCCGCATAGCGATATTAATCCGTGCAAGAGAGCTCATTGTTATGCGAAATTATCGTTATGCGAATGAATTTTCCCCATAAGAAATAATGGAAATCAAATTAATCCGTCCAAGACACCCAAAAGTATGAAAAAAAAATTTTACCACATGAAATATACATTTTCCTACACACAAAGAGAAGGATACATGCACAATAGTAGAGTAATACATGCACAATATATATTGTGCATGTACTACTCTACTAAATGAAGAATAAATGACACTTACCTTTATTCAAGATGCAGCAATGACTGATGACACTGTGTCCTGGGAGTGCCTTTTCCTCCTGAGTACTGTAGGTCCTGTTTGGCGTTTTCTTCCAGAACAGGCCTTATCACACTGTGTATGTCACTACGATTCTTAAATCTCTCAAACCAACCTTTGCTCGCTTTAAATTCACCAATATGAGCACTAGTTCCAGGCATTTTTCCCTGTTCACCTGGGTGTTATCGACTGGTTGGGTTGCATCCTGGGAGACAAGATTAAGGACCCCAATGGAAATAAGTTAGACAGTCTTCGATGACACTGACTTTTTTGGGTTATCCTGGGTGGCAAATCCTCTGGGGTTAATTGTTTCTTGGTATTCTCAATAAGCCACACCAACAACAGTGCTGCAGCAGCAGCAGCAGCTGACAGTGCTACAGCAGCAGCAGACGATGCTACAGCAGCAGCAGACGGTACTACAGCAGCAGCAGCAGCTGACGGTGGTACAGCAGCAGCAGCAGCTGACAGTGCTACAGCAGCAGCAGCAGCTGACAGTGCTACAGCAGCAGCAGACGATGCTACAGCAGCAGCAGACGGTACTACAGCAGCAGCAGCAGACGGTACTACAGCAGCAGCAGCAGCTGACGGTGGTACAGCAGCAGCAGCTGACGGTGGTACAGCAGCAGCAGCAGCTGACAGTGCTACAGCAGCAGCAGACGATGCTACAGCAGCAGCAGACGATGCTACAGCAGCAGCAGATGATGCTACAGCAGCAGCAGATGGTACTACAGCAGCAGCAGACGGTACTACAGCAGCAGCAGCAGCTGACGGTGGTACAACAGCAGCAGCAGCTGACGGTGCTACAGCAGCAGCAGCAGCAGCAGCAGCAGCTGACAGTGCAGCAGCAGCTGACGGTGGTACAGCAGCAGCAGCAGCTGTACCACCAATAGTAGCGATGGTTGATTGGGATTTATTATACAACCTGGCCAGCTCGGAGACACGCACTCCACTTTCATACTTATCAATGATCTTTTTCTTCATCTCTATAGTAATTCTCACCCTTATTGCTGTAGGGTTGGCACTAGAAGCTTTCTTGGGGCCCATGATCACTTATTTTGCAGATAAAATCACCAAAAACATTGTAATAATACGAAATGTTCCGGTTGTATGCTTGGATGTTACCGCGGAGGCTGGCTGGTAAACAATGCCACCGGCGGAACATGTGAGCGTGGCTCAGGCCGCACATAGACGCCTCTCGGACGAACAGCGTTGAGCGGGTTTTTTAGCGGTATGCGAGGCAAAATCTTAGCGATAAAATGTAGCGGTATGCGGATTTAACGTTATGTAAGGCCAACGGTATGCGGGGGTCCACTGTACTGTAATAATTGTATAAATAACATCAACCCATTCATGACTGCATATTAGAATGGCTAGTTGGACATTTATTGGACAATGGCATCATTTGTTTACTTTTGAACATTGGCAAAAATCAAACATTTCCCCTACTTTGAGCTCCATTTCTAGGTTCTTTTTATAGTAAAATCAATCAAAATCACCGCTATTTCTATAACATGTTTTCCATTCTATCAAATGAGACCAAGAAAACGAGAATATATCCATAACTACTATACGAAAATAGACCACAAAGTCGGCATTTTAATTAAAAAAAACGGTCGGAGTTTTTTTTTCTCATTATGCACTGCATGCTCTAGGATTTTTTTTATATGGTGCACACTGACCACACAGACCCATTGTCTCACATGTGGGCCTACCAGCTTTCTCCTGCTTGATTTGAAGCTGCTAGAATTTATGAGTATATATACGTCAAACACGGTACCTCGTAAGACATATATATACGGCCGCCACAGTCAAAGGGTTAACAGACTTACATGAGGAAAAGGAGAGTATGATAATGCCGAATGTCCGCAACTCCTGAATTGTGAAATTAATATTTGATCACTGTCCAGTTCCTAGGTAGTAGGTTGGTAGACAGCAACCGCCCAGGGAGGTACTACTGTCCTGCCAAGTGAGTGTGAAACAGAAGCCTGTAATTGTTTTACATGATGGTAGGATTGCTGGTGTCCTTTTTTCTGTTTCATAAACATGCAAGATTTCAGGTACATCTTGTTACTTCTACTTACACTTAGGTCACACTGCACATACATATACAAGTATATATATATATACATACCCCTCTGGGTTTTCTTCTATTTTCTTTCTAGTTCTTGTTCTTGTCTATTTCCTCTCATCTCCATGGGGAAGTGGAACAGAATTCTTTCTTCCCTAAGCCATGCGTGTCGTAAGAAGCGACTAAAATGCCGGGAGCAAGGGGCTAGTAACCCCTTCTCCTGTATATATTACTAAATTTAAAAGGCGAAACTTTAGTTTTTCCTTTTGGGCCATCCCACCTCATTGGGATATGGCTGGTGTGTTGAAAGAAAGAAGAAACATGCAAGATCTCAGGCATGTCTTGCTACTTCTTCTTGCACTTAGGCCACACTACACATACATGTACAAGCATATGTATACACACACACCCCTCTGGATTTTCTTCTATTTTCTTTCTAGTTCTTGTTCTCGTTTATTTCCTCTGACGTCCATGGGGAAGTCGAACAAATTCTTCCTCCATGAGCCATGCGTGTTGTAAGAGGCGACTAAAATGCCAGGAGCAAGAGGCTAGTAACCCCTTCTCCTGTATATATTACTAAATGTAAAAGGAGAAACTTTCGTTTTACCTTTTGGGCCACCCCGCCTCGGTGGGATATGGCTGGTGTGTTGAAAGAAAGATAGATATATATATACACTCACCCCTTTGGGTTTCCTTATATTTCCTTACTAGTTCTTGTTCATTTCCTCTTATCTCCATGGGGTAGTGGAACAGAATTCTTCCTCCGTGAGCTATGTGTGTCGTAAGAGGCGACAAAAATGCCAGAGAAACTTTTCTTTTTCCTTCTGGGCCACCCTGCTTCAGTGAGATATGGCCGGTTTGTTGAAAGAAGACTGTCCGGTTGTCTTCTTCAGTAGTGTACTTGGACAAGTGATGCAGAAGACAACCAGACACTTAGAATATGAGTATTGTAACCTGTAGAACTACTGTACTATTCTATTCAAAACTCAAGGAGGAGGAGTAACAAAACTTAACATTTTATTAACATGAAACTAAGAGAGCATGGCAGTAGACTTACTTCCTCATGCTAAGCAGGTCCTACTCTCACTCATTATAATACATTAGAGGAGCACTGCAATAGGCCTACTGGCCCATGTTAGGCAGATCCTACTGAAATTCAACCTTTCTCACTCATAAGTTTGTCTAGTCTTTTTTTTTAAAGCTACCCATTGTTTTAGCTTCCATGAAGTGGCTGCTCTGACCCATACTGGACAAATGCTGGAGTCACTGGGGTTGGCTGATGCCTCAGAAGATACCTGGACACAACTGCTAATAACAAAATTCAGAATTATGAAATTTTATCCATCCTGCCTAATAATTAGAGACATTGTCCAGCCAATTTTTTTTTTTTGTCTGAAATCCGTTAAGAGGTTTTACTGTATTTTAATTGTAGGAAAATTTTTTTTATTAATATTTTATGAACACAGGATATGAGAGATTTCAGGAAGTAAAATAATTATCAACCAATATGTACTGTATCAAAACAAGACAGCATTAAAAAATAATGTAAAGAATTCATTAGAGTCCCTCACCCAGCTATACTCTGCAAATGAATAATTAATGCCAAATTTTTCAATTACTAAAATCATGAGTTTTTAATTTCTAAATGATATGCAAAACTTTCACATCCTTTGTACACAGTGAAGATTAAAAAACAGCAGTGAAAATCCCTTATGCTTACAAATATGGGGACTCGAGTGCAGGTGGGATATCTTCCCACCCCTCTGAAGAAGGGGTGAGTATAATGCAGTTTGGATGGCCATCTGAGAAGACAATGACAAAATGAATTTAGATCTGATCAAAAATAACTATGGCCTGAATGAGACATTAATTCATACAAGAATGAGACAAAGGTACGAGTTTGTACAATGAGTAACTTGGATTGTAATCGACTGAAAAGAATGACAAATACATATATACTTCAACCCACACAATTCCACTATGACCACATGCCCTTACCCATGCCAACCTAAACAGTAGCCTCCACCCACACAACCCGCCCATACATTTCCCTTCCATAGCCACGTCTACATCTACACCACTCTCCCATGGCCACATTCCCCCACTACCTCAAGATCACATCTTGTCCAGCCACAGACCCTCACCCATGCCATTCCCCCATGACCTAATGCCCACATCATACTAAACTTTTCACCCTAACATGCTATCCACATAGCTAATCACTTAGTTACCCATAACCCTCATTACTGTCTACACCACCAACTGCACACTCGCCTAGTCACCCATCACCTACATCACTACACACAATGGACCAATGACAACCACAACTTTTGCTGACAGCATTCACCCACAGCTTCAAGCCCACAAGGCTTCCATCCACATCTTACACTCACATCACTCCACCAGAGCTTTGGCAACATAGCTCCAGGCCCACACCTTACCCATGCTTTCACAGTCCCCACACGCTAACGTGCCATCCTCACACCTAATAATGTAGTCGCTCACCACTCTCGTTACACCACCACCAACACTGCCACCCACATGGTCACCATCACATCCCCTCATTGCTTCCAGCCTCCACCCCCACACTCCTCCATCATCCAGCATCCACAACCTCCCAACACCAGCCTTCAGCTCTGCCCCACCTATCCACCATTAGGGAGGCCCCCCCACATCCACAATGAATCCTCTCACCCACCCACCCTCACCCTTCCTGTGTATGCTGCAACCACTTATAACACCCACTTGTATGTTGCAACCTTTATAACACCCCATATAGCTGCAACGTGTAGGACACCTGAGTAATAATGATCTTCTGACTGCTAGCAGAGATGTGGATATGGGATCTTTGACTCGCATCACCTTAACCTAGAATTATATTACCCTCAATGCTATTTAAAATTTCAAGACTTATAAAAATTTTTTTTGGCTTTTCTGGGGGTCTACTGAATGTAAACCTATTTCTTCATGTGTTCTTTAATTTAATTTATATGCATCTTTAATTATAAACCATATTCAGGAACATAATTACCATGTTATCTGTCAGTCAACTGTAACTAAATTTTGATAGAATCACTTGTTTTACCAGAGGCGTGCAGATACAACAGTTCAGATGTCCCTTCAAATGGCAAATATTCCAAACCCCTCCCTTAGAGTGCAGGCACTGTACTTCCCACCTCCAGAACTCAAGTCCAGCTAGCCAGTTTCCTCGAATCCCTTCACAAAATATTACTTCGCTCGCACTCCAACAGCTAGTCAGGTCCCAAAAGCCATGTCTCCACTCACTCCTATCTAACACACACATGCCTGCTGTATGTCCAAGCCCCTTGCACAGAAAACCTCTTTTACCCTGTCCCTCCATCCTTTCTTAGGATAACCCCTACCCAGCCTTCCTTTCACTACAGATTTATACACCCTCCAAGTCATCCTGTTTTGCTCCATCCTTTCTAAATGACCCAACCATCTCAAAAACTCCTTTCTCAGCCCTCTGGATAATACTTTTAATAACCCTGCACCTCCTCCTAATCTCCAAACCACCATACATTACCCTCGGACATGACATCTAAACTGCCTCCAACCTCCTCCTCCTCTCTGCAACATTTACAACCCAAGCTTCACACCTACATAAGAGCATTGGTACTATTATACTCTCATTCTTTCCCATTTTTGCTTCAACTGATAATGTTCTTTGTCTCCACAGATGCCTCAGTGCTCAAGTTTAATTATAAGTAATCAAATACAAATTTGTCTTACCTGCTTTAGCAAGGGTTCAACAGCAACATTATGGTTTGAGCAATACACCTTGTAAACATCACAGAGTTCATCAGCACACAGAAGAAATATCCGACCAACGAGTAAGTCATCATCAGTCTCGTAAGCAACTTTATCCAGCAATGCCAGAAACTTCTTGGCCACCTCTAGAACCTGTGGCATTTGTAAAAGTTAGCCTCTATAACACGCATCTCATTTTGTTTAATGGATTATCAGCACTTGCAAATCAAATGCAGTATTCCAGTAAAAACATTGTGGCCATCAAATGATAACTTGAAAAAGGGAAATTCTTTACTCTTCTTGCCTCTCTGATTTTTTTAGCCAAAGAAAAATCAGTCTTTAAGCATATACATACAATGCTGTTCATGCAACCCTTTTGCAATTTCTAATGACAATACTGAAATTTTAACCCTTAAAGTGTCCAAACTCTCGATCTGAAAAGTGTCCATAGTGTCCAAGAATTAAAAAAAAAAATTTTCTTATGAAATGGTAGAGAATCTTCTTCTGAAGGTAATAAAACAAAAAATGCAAACTTTGATGGAAAACTTACAAAATTACACTTTCACAAATTTCCTGTGCCAGTGACATTTACACATGGGCGATTTTATTCACTCTGAGTCCTACTTTAGGCCAATTACATTGTTCCAGTCAACCAAATTCTTAGCTATTTTGCTAGTATGGCTTCCATTTTATCGACTGGGTACAAGAAACTGCCCAATCAACTATTTCAACTACCTAATAAAGTAATCAGAAATTGGTAATTTGACCAATTTTACACAAATTTCAAAGTAGGATCTAGAATAAAAAATGCAGGCATTCCTGGCACTAAAACAACATTCGTCTGTTCAACAGTTATGTTCCCAAACTTTATACAGGAATTCCATTTTGAATTTTTATTCACACAAAAAAATAGGCTTACTCTTGTGCATTATTGTAATAATTGTATAAATAATGTCAGTGCATTCATGGATGCATATTAGACTGACTGGTTAGACGCATATTGGACGAGTGACACGATTTGTTTACTCTGGAATATCGGCAAAAATCAAATATTTCCACCACTTTGAATTCAACTACTTCCAGTCTTGAAACCAATCAAAATCATCTCTACTTCTGTAATACATTTTCCACTGTATCAAATGATACCAAGAAACCAAGAATACAACCATAAAAACCGTCCAAAAATACATCGCAAAGTCACTATTTTCAACCAAAAACACAGTCGCAGTTCTTTTTCCCCGTTATGTACTCCTGGGGCAGGATTTTTTTATATGGTGCACACTTACCGCATTAATCCATTCTCTCATATCTAGGCCTAAATTTACCCCTCACTGCTATCTGACTGAGCAGAACTCATCATGTAATTAACAAAATAAGACAATACCGTGACTGGAACAATACACAAATAACCCGCACATAGATGAGAGGGCTTACGGCGACGTTTTGGTCCAACGTGGACCATTTACAAAGTCACACTAACAGAAAGGAGAGAAGGAGGGAGTATATATAGGCCAGTCAAATACTAAGAAAGAGGAGCACTGCAAGGGAGCTAGAGTCCCACAGAGGGCAGGAGCAAGAACACAGAGGGGTTGAAAAATAATGAAAGAACAAATACCCAAGGCAGAAGAAAGAAAACCCAAAGGAAAAAGAGGAAAGAGGAAATGGGAAGAGAGAGAAGGGGAAAAAAGAATCAGATTAAGTCACAGGTGTTCTGAAGTTTGGAGCATTTTACAATGTAATGGGAAAGGATAGCATCCACAGAGACAAAGCCAGGACTAAGATTCATACAAGGAAAGTTGTGTATAAGGGAGGATTCAACCAAGACGCCTATAACAATCGGTGCCATATACCGGATACCCCACACAAACACCCCAAACTTCAGTGAGAATCTAAAGTCACTAATAACAAACAGACAAATGAACAAGCACCACCTTTTCTTAGCTGGAGACTTCAATATCAACCTTGGCCTACCAGATGATCAGACTAACTGATTTCATCAACAATATGAACAACACACTTCTCATACCAACAATAACTAAACCAAAAAGGCTGACTGAGACAAGTGCAACCATAATAGACCACATATGGACCAATATACTAGCCCCCCTTAAATCAGGGATAATCACAGACAGCACTACTGACCACTACCCAACCTTCCTCTTAACAAACATTAGTAAGCCACCACTTGAATACAACAAAGTTTCATTTAGACTCCATGACGAGGCCTCAATAAGGAATTTCACAACAGACCTAGAGACTGTTGACTGGCCTACAGAATTCTCCACTGCCAATGGTATTGACGATTGGACAGACATTTTTCTTAACAAAATACTTAGACTATACAACAAACATTGTCCTATAAAAACGAAACAGATCACGAATAAACGGCTTGGTTGCCCATGGCTAACCAGCAGCATTCTGAAATCCATTGATAAGAAACACCAATATGAAAAGCAATATAGACAGGGCTTAATACATAAAGATATTCTTAAACAATATTCAACAGTTCACACCAAATTAATAAAATAAGCCAAACAACTGTACTACTCCAGCAGATTCACTGACACAAGAGGAGATATAAAAAAGACCTGGAAAACACTTTCCCAGATTCTGGGGACCCACAAACTGAAAAAAAACAAGAATATTGTTCTAACTAAACCTCATGAAACACCACTGCATCCCACTGATACAGCTAACAAGATAAACGACTTCTCAAACTTAGGATCTAATCTCGCCAGTAAAATCCCACGTACCAATGCCCGTGCCGGGGACTACCTAGATGGGAATTTCCCAAATTCCTTCTGTCTTGTACCAACTGAGCCCACGGAAGTCACTGCGATCATAGTCACTTAAAAATAACTCGGGGAATCTGTCTCACGTCCTACCATTATTGTACAAGTGAGCGGCCCATGTCCTTTCGCATGCTATTACATTACTTTTTAACAAGTCACTAGAAACTAGCACTTTCCCGACACTACTCAAAACAGCAAGGGTTACACCAATACATAAAGGTGGTGACCCTACACGTAAACAACTATAGACCAATATCAAACTTGCCATTGCTATCCAAAATCTTCGAGAAACTCGTGCACAGGAGACTATATTCATTTATAACGTCACAAAACATCCTCAACCCAACCCTGATCCACCCCGACAACTTACTACATGATAACCACCTGGTGGTTCACAATTACACTCGCTCACCCACCCACTGACTATAAACCCAGAAATACTTATCTTAATCTTAAAATAATAAATCCTAACTAGTCATAAGTTTGCCTATGATACTCCAATATAGACATTGTGTATTGCGCCAAAACAAAAGCATTCACATTGCTAAACTCACAAATTATGATGTAGTCACTCAGCCTTAATACCATAATCTTTAAGGATTTAATGTTAAGAATTAATCTAAGTCTGCTCGAAATGCCTAGCCATGCTAGGTGTCCTAGTGGCCCCCTCTGTAATTAGTATTTTATAACATGTAAACCACACAATACCCAAAACCTGTAAACCCCACATTGTAACCCTTATAGAGAATAAACTTGAATTGAATTGAAATGGCAACTGTGAAAAGTTAGATGTAGGGTAAGTTTTAGCAGCAGACCAGTCAATAAGATGTCTGATCTCTGACATGACAGAAAAAAGCATTGTTGGTGTCAGCAAGCCTAACACTACTTTTGTGTTCCCTAAGTCTGTCAGAAAAAGATGCTAGTTTCTCCAAAGTACTGAAGAGGACAGGAGGAACAAGAAAGAGGAGACACCAGCGCTAATCTT